AAACATTCCTAACATAATTCAAGTGTTGCACATTGCATGTGGATGTCGATATATAGATTGAGAGTTGATGAGGCACCAGAAGCAACCGAAGAATTGTGGTCATTAGCGAGTGGTCCTAATTTGCTAGTGAAAGGGTACTCGGGTTGTATAATCAATGGTGTAAGATTCCATACGAAGGAATTAGACAATCGTCGTAAGAGTCAAAAAGTGGTGTGCATACCGAAGGGGACTACAAGGGAGAGATGCACGAATTCTAAGGTCACTTGTGCAATATTTGGGAATTTGAGTACATGTGTCAAAATAAAGTTGTTTTGTTTCAATGTGAATGGTACAACACCGATAACACTGGTAGAAGTAGAACAGTACGAGCTGACACATATTGCACAAGCATCGATGTCACAAGCCGATGGTATCAATCTGACCCTTTTATCTTGCCTAGTCAAGCTAAACTAGTGTTCTACCTTAATGACACCAAATGGGGGTAACCTTGGCAAGTCGTGCAACAGGTCCAACATAGAGGTGTGTTTGATGTGCCAGAGGCTAGTGATGGAGAACCACCAGATCAACCAGAATTTAATGATACATTCCAACAAGAAAACATTAACTCAGTTGTCCCGATCAACATTGAAGATATTATTCGATTTCATAGGGATGATATTGAAGCTGAGGTTATTCCGAATAAAACAAAGAGAGATGGTAGAGATGACAAAGAAGATGAAGAACTTGGCATACTTGATGATGATATGGATCCTGATATGGAACTTGATATGGATTATGATATGTAGCTTTTGTTTTTTTTAGGGGTTTCTCTATGGACATATGTTTTTAATGCATTACATGGTTATGCTATATTTTGTTGCGTCTCTTCAAGTAAAATTATGCTTTATATTTATGTTTTATATCAATTTATGCTTTTTAGTTACCAAAATGGCCAAAGGGGAGAAACAATGGATCAAACCAGGTTTTCTAGCGAAACAGAAGCGAACAGAGTACGAAATGGAAAGATATAAGACAATCAAGAAGAATAATAAGAAAATGGATGCTCTACAATTGAAGCGTATAGCAACTTCTTTGATGGGTTCTACTCAGCCCAATCGTGTTAATCAGAAGGGAAAGAACATTAGGGTAGATGATGATGACTACATACCGTCAGATCATGAGGATGACACTAATACTGAGTCCTTTGAAAGTGTTGACGATGAGGTACTATATGTATGGCCATTCATTTTTTTTATTATTTCACCGATAACTATATATTTGTTAATGATGCTTTGTTAATACTATCTTTATATTTTCGTATACTTTATTGGATAAATAAGTCATAAAATAAAACTAGAAAATATACATCCTACATACAACAATATGCATACCAAAACAATGCTAAAGGAAAAAAAAACCTCCTGCACAACCCGTAGGAGTAAGTTAGCTGGAACACAAATGTATAACGAAATAAGACATAATTTGACCATGTTGGAAACACCAATACTAGGATTAGCGCATGTGTGCAGCCTGGCCCTCATAATATTAGTAAAACAGATGCCAAACTGATTGATCACCAACTTCACCACAGTATGAACTACCTGCCAGAGGGATTCAGCAAGTGTAGGACTGTTGCTGGAACTGGCGCAAGATGCAGCCTGGTCCACTTGATAACCTCCATAACAATAACTTCAGTGTTCAAACTAGGACTACCAAATAGGGAATTCCATGGAGAATGGCCCCTAGCTGTAGCCAGATTCTCCAGGTTGCCTCCAGGTTGCCTCTCTCTCAAACTATTTATATGCTCACAGATACTCAACCCACTTTCCATAAGAAGAGGCCAGATTGACAACTTGCAAAGCACACAATTAGGAAAAACCAATTAAAAGATTAGAACTACTGGTAGCTCACAACCACTCAACAGCTCAACCGCTCAACTTGCCTACAAGTTTTTGAGTGACAACACCCTTTACCTGACCATTTTAAAAACATACAAAGCAACCATTTGTCAGGACCAGTCTTGGGAAGAAAAGGAGTGGACTGGATCATATTACAAATATCAACAGTGGCCTTGATGAGTTTCCGTATACATATCTTTACTTATCCATTTTTATGTATTTATTGTTTACGCTTTTGTATTATGTTTTTTAGGGCTTACCAATGCCACCAAAACGATTGGCGCAGTCATCTCTTCAACTTTCACACGAGGCAATTGTTGTTCCAAATGGGGATTTACATGACAATGTGGATACCCAACACTCACAACCACTTGATGTCGATATGGAGGCACCGAGGGAGGAAACTCCCCAATCTAGTGTCGGTAAGATACTGAATTTTACTAAGCTAAAAAAATTCTCTGTTTTTAATGTAATTCTATGGTGCAAAAAATTTCAAGCAATTTGTTTCATAGGGTTTGATTTTTTTTTTTTTTTTTGGCTGTAAAAAGTGCTCGAGTATACCCTAGTTTAACTCTTGTAAGTTTTGTTTTGTTCATACATACATACATATTACCTTATGTCAAAATGTCTACTTATTCACTTGTGTTACAGTTCATGATTAACAATTATTTAATTTTTTTAAACTGTCAAGACTGTTCAATTTTAAACTAAAATATCATTTCTAGGTTCTTATATAGTTGCTTTTAAAGATGTTTTGACATTATTTTGGATGGCTTCTCACATTTGTTTTGACAGCCTTTTAAATTTGAATTGTAAACATTTTTTCAAGATTGGTTGATTTGAAAAATTTCAGAGACTTCATGGTTGATGCTTTTCCTTTCTCACGTTGTTTTCTCGTTCTCACAATTATATTTGTTCTTCCATTTTTTTGTTTCTTTAATCTTTCCTGCCCCTGCAGCTTCTTTGTTCTTCTCTGGTACTACCACTTTCTTCCATACTCTTTGTTTGTCTTCAGCATAAGGCCAAAAAATTATGCAATTTGTGGGTAAAGGCCAGTGGTGACGAAGTGTTTTTTTATTTTTATTTTTTAAAATTTTTTTAAGGATTTTCTTTGTTTGGTAGCTGAGAAAATGTGAGAAAGAGGGGAAATAGAAAATAAAATAAAATGTTGTCCTTTTGTGCCATCATGCTACTGCGGTTTCTAAGAGAGTGAAAACCTTTCCAATAGTTTCCATTGTGCTTAATTGGGTGAAAATATCTGTCTGCCTCTGTCTATGAAGTTGTGGAATTAGTTATTGAAGAATCTGAGGACCAAAATTTTGATTTCATTTCTTTGCTCATACTAAATTTTTTTAAGGAGAAATTGTTGGGCTTTTTATGTGAATTGCTTGTTGGGTTGCTTCGTTTGTGATGAGGATTTACCGGGTGGTAATGACTTAATGCACTTGAGGATTTTGCTAACTGAAGAACTAGACCTCAAAATTTTCCGGACTTTAATCTTTAATTGTTGCCTTGCCTTTGTTGTACTACACTGTAATACATTTTTCCAAGTTCTAGTTTTTGTTTAAATGCTTAAATTTAGAACACTATTGTGATATGCTCAAATTTCATATTTGCTGTGTTGGATCCTAGATGGGAGTAGGCCTACACAATCTGGGTTATGTGAAATCTTAGATTAAATTGTGGAGCCAAGCTTGCAATATTGGTTTAACAGCATAAAGGCCAGGGTATACCCCAGCATAAAGGTCCTCACTGGGGTAATCAGAGCCAACCTTGAGCCCAAAAAAATTATGCAATTTGTGGATAAAGAACACTTCATCACCACTGATGGAAGCACCCAAGGTACTAAAATTGTGGTGAGAGTAGCTGAACTACTTACCAAAACAGAGAAGGAGACTAGTGAATAGAAAGCAATAGCAGTACGGAAAAGAATCAGCAGCTGCAGCAACTGCAAAACAAATCAGCAGCTGTATAGGAGAGATTGAACAGAAACAAAGAGTAGGGAAGAAATTGGCAGTAACAGAGAAGAACGAAAAAGCTGCAGATGTAGGAAAGAGTAAAGAAACAAGAAAATGGAATAGCAAATACAACTGTGAAAAAGAGAAAACAACTTGAGAAATGAAAAGCATCAACTTGAGAGTAGGGAAGAAAGCTGCAGCTGTACCTGTGTGGCTACTGCTAGTGCTGTTTGTGCAGGGCTTTTCTTGGGTTTATTTTCTCGTTTTGCTTGCTTTTTCTCTCTTGAGGGTTGTGCAAGTGTATTTTGTATTGTTTTTGGCTAGTCTATTGAATGTTCATAGCCCTTTTTTTCTCATGTGGCAAACGAACATTCTTTTGTGTGGTTTATTTTAGGATGATTCTCTTTACAGTTTATTTAGTTTAGTTTATCTGTTTGGTTTTGTTTCTCTTTTATAGCTCTAGTTTTTTTTGTTTGGTTTGCTGTTGTAAGGCCTGGCGAATGCCCCATTGTGGTTATCATTTTACTTTATGACTTACTAAAAAAAAAAAAGTTACTTATATTACTTTTATGATTTCGCTTTAATTAATTGCTAACTAGTCAATGTTATGTCTTTAAAACAGTGCGTAATAGACACCCTCGTGGCTTGACACGCGGGTTGAAGGTTCAAGCAATGGTTCAAAAAGATGGAAAGCTCAAAGTTCCCATACCACAAGAGTATCTTGCGCCAGTGGGGGATCATGCCTCTCAATTAGTCTCCAAAATTGGTGTTGAGGTCTGAACACACTTGCCAGACTTTAGCATTCGCAGGTGGAAACATGTCAACGAAGAAGTTACGGCACCTATGTTTCAGCGTCTAACGGTAAAAGTTTTACATAATTGATTGAATTAATGTAATATAATTAATTATGACTTACAAGATTTGTGGTTGTTGCTAGGATCAATTTGACATGGAAAGTGAATCCACTAATGTTAGGAAAGAGGTGGCAACAAAGTGTGGACGGAGCTTGAGCAGCCACACCTACAGACTACGAAAAAAATACCTGAACCTTAAAAGTGCTAAGGGAGAGAAGTATGCTAGAAGCCACCCACCGCCTGAATGTGACCTCGAGAAATGGAAAAACTTGATTGACAAGAAGTGGAATGATACCAATTAGCTGGTAAACTTTTCTTATGTTTATTTATTGTTGACAATTACCTTGTCTTCCTAATATATATATTTTTCTATTGGAACTTGCTCCTTGTAGAAGCAATCAAATGCTAACATTGACAATAGAAATCAATTGAAGACGAAGCATAGGTGTGGGTCAAAATCTCTCCCAGTTAGGGTACACGAGGCGGTAGGTCTTCTTTAATTTTTTTTCCGTTTTTTTTTTAAAGATGATTCTACTACCATCGTTCTTATTTAACTTACTAGTTGAACAAAAAAATTAGACAATTGCAAATGGGGGCCAACTGCCAGAGTTGCCATGTGTTTACAAATCTACACACTTTAATGATGTCACAAAGCAGTGGATTTCTCCAGAGTGCGAAAAGAATTATGTATGTATATTTACCTTTTGTATTAGGATGATTGCAGTTTTAATTGTATCTTTATTCATTTTTCTTTTTCTTTTTTTAATGACAGGATAATATGATAAAGATCCAAGCTGAGCATTGCTCCGAACCTGGTGTGGTTCCAATTACTCTGGAGGAGCTATCTGTGAAGGTGCTAAAGCCAAGGTCGGGATATGTTAAAGGACTCGGGTTGAGGCGTTCCTTCTCTGTCAGGACTACCAGTGCTTCGACTGACAGTGACTATGTGAGGCATCTAGAGATGGAAATACAAAAGCAAAAAGAGGAAATTCAGTCACAAAAAGAGAAAATTCAGTCACATAAAGAGGAAATTACAGCACAGAAACATGAAATTCAAGTACAAAAAGAAGAAATTCAAGCACAAAATAAAGAGATAAGGAAGATGAATGGGTCAATTGACGAGCATTTTGAGATCACACCAAGCATCATGGAGTTTCTTAAGAAGCAAGGTTTCAAAGGATAATTTAGAGGATGAGGTATCCCATGAACTCGTACATCGCCTTTTTGGTAAGTCTCGCTTATTTTATCATTTTACTTTTCTCATGTTGGTTAGTATATACTAGTTAAAGTACAGCAATTTGACTACTTATTAACTAGGATTTAACAAGTTTGAAGATGTATTTAATGAAAATAGATTCATTATCAAAATTCTTACTTAGCATGACCCTAGTTAAAATACACACTAACCAAAGTAGACACAATACTATGTGTTTACTTTTTTGTATATTTTTGCTAGGCAGTGTTGGGAGTTGCTCTAAGTTAGTGATGTGATTAATAATGGGTGTCTCTCTGATTGAGTTTTTCACAGTAGTAGAAATGAATGAACAAGTCACCATCTCCTCCTTTTTTAAATCGTAAACTTTACGATTTAAAAGTTGCTCTCTGAAGGCTGTGCAATATTGCTGAAGCTTGTTTATCTAAGTGATATCTCTCATCAATGTCGAAGATTCGTATGGTTCGAAATCTAAAGTCACCTGACCACCATATATGAAGACCTAGGAACCATGTTTTTTAAGTCTACAAATAATTAATTAAAATAAAAATAAAATTTTTATGGAAAGAAGCTGCTCATATGGACATCATGCCGTTTTTATAAAATAAAGGAAGAAGTTAATGTTGAGTAGTTCGGTTTGCTCCCGTGTTGGTATCTGTATGCTCTGCTGTTGAGTGGTTCTGGTTTATCTGGAAGATGAGGAATAATTGTTTTTTCAATGGGTGTCAGCCTAACCTAAAGGAGTTGAATGGTTCTGTCAAGTGGAGAGTGGCTCTATGGGCCAAATCCAATCTTCTAGGTTTTTCTTACTTCAGGCATGATATTGTGCATAACCTAAGTCAGATAATAGCTTATTGTTAAGTTTGCTTGTATCTGTGGATGTTGGTATCTGTATAGCCTAAGTCATAAGTATCTGTATGCTCTGCTGTTGGTATCCGTATGCTCCGCTGTTTGCTCTGCTGTTGGTATTTGTATGATCTGCTGTTGGTATCTGTATGCTCTGCTGTTTGGTATCATTTTGCTTTGCTGGTTGTATCTGTATGCTGTGTGAGTGGATAGATCTGCTGGGCTGCTGGTCTGGGTAATTTTGCTTCAGTTTTGGATATGAAACTAATTATAGGCCTGGTGATGTATATTTTCTATATACCTTTGCTGGGATGGGTAGCTTGCTGTCTGCGTTTGATCCTGCTGTCTGTTGTGTTTTTTGTGTTCTTGTTGGTCCCTCACCAATAGTTCCGTTTTGGTGCTGTGCATCATCCCCCTCTTCCCTGTCCTTTCTTGTCCCCTTTATTGATGTATTTTCTCCTTCTTGTAAGGTTCTTTCATCAACAAAGCTTTTGTTGATAAAAAAAGAAAAGAAAAAGGAAGCAGTCAATGTTAAAACAGAATAATACGTATAGTAGTGTATACTATTTTCTAAATTTAGAAGGGAACTGTTTTTAGGTTTTGTGCCTGGCCTTTTAATGTTAATGTTAAAAATAATAAGCTTATTATCTACATCCATTTTGGTCATTGCTGTCACAACTCACCAATCTAGTGGTCTAGTTATCCATTTTTTGCATTCTAGGTTATTGCTCTCTCTCTCTCTCTCTCTCTCTTCAAAAAAATTTTAAATCCCATTTGTGCAGCAACCACAATATTTGTTCCTTCTCATTCTCATTGACCGCATGCCGTGGTTTCTTACCATGAGATGTTGTAGTGTTATAACTGGTTTGGCTGCTGTCCGTGGGTCACACCCAATTTTTTATCCGAGCATAATTCTGGGGATACAGTGAATTGCCATGTTAAGGTGATCATTGCAAAGCCCATGGGTGGGAATGAGCATGGTATTCATCTTTTTAGTTAATCTCTGTTAATTTCTATTCAAATAACTTCAAGCTTGTGATCTTGAGAACAGTATTGCTGGTTTCTTTGGTGGTTTCTTCTTCTGTGCTGCTTGCTTGATGTTCTTGTCCATTGCTGGTTTCTTTGGTGGTTTCTTCTTCTGTGCTGCTTGCTTGATGTTCTTGTCCATTGCTGGTTTCTTTGGTGGTTTCTTCTTCTGTGCTGCTTGCTTGATGTTCTTGTCCATTGCTGGCTTCGTATTCTTCTATGTTGCCTTCTGCTTGTTCATTCCCTCCATCTTCAGATGGATTTTGTAATGTCTCCTTGAATTTGACAATTGCCTTTTCTGATTCTTTCTTCATCTTTTTGCCAAGACAGAACTCCTCTGATGGGTTTTTGACTAGCTGCTTGTTATCTATCTGTAACAGGAGACTCTTTTATTAGAGAAATGTTACAAAATTCACTGAGAGAAAAAATTCAAATAAGGAAAATAAAATGCATTTAAATGATACTAATAGGAAACAAACTTCAAAGAAAATTGTATGGGCCAGAGAAAATTAGAGACATGGAATTGATTTTATGAGGTAGAGAAAATTATGAAACAAGCAACATAATTTAGATATCAGAGAAAATCTATCAAGGCATATAAGTTAATGTTTTACTACAATTGTGTCAGAGAAATTTGGATTCCAGAGAAAATTCATTAGAAGGGTAGAAATAAACAGTGTTTATCAAAGATGCAAGGCACATAAGTTATGGGCGGAGAAAATTACACACAAGGAGATAAAATTTGATGGGCCAGAGAAAATTATGAAACAATCAACATAATTTAGATATCAGAGAAAATCAATCAGGGCATATAAGTTAATGTGTTACAATTATGGTCAGAGAAATTTGGATGGCAGAGAAAATTGATTATAATGGCAGAAATAGACCCGTGGTAACCAAAGAAGAAAACATAAATTGATAGTTCAGAGAAAATTGATCTTAATCAATCAATGCACAATAAGGGAAACAAAGCAATGGTCAGAGAAATTTTGGAATTTCACTGAGATTTCAGTAGCAATAGGAATCTAACCTACCAAGGTGCAAGAGAGTGGACTGGTGTCTTCTGCAGCTGTTTCGTCAAGGTTTGCAGGTTCCACTTGGCACATCTTGGGAAGTCAGTTGTGTTACTGTCTTCCGAGTCAATGATAGTTGCATGTTCACATAGCCAATACTGTGATGAAAATGAAAGTAAATAAAATTTTCTAAACGCACAAATTTGTAAGTATGATAACTGCAAATTTGAATGGATATTATACTTACCAGCAATGCAACGACACACCCCGTAACTTTTTCTGGAGTTTTGTGCAATGCCATGATAGAATTAATCAATGTTGATGTGATTGCTTCCGGCCAATCATACTGTTTCATTGATTCAAGACGTTCCCCATGCTTTATAAAAACCCAACCTATTGAATTCCCACTTGTTGCAAAAAATAGGGTGAGACACAAGTACAATGTAACAATGATTGCTACATCTTTGAAGTCAGTTGGTTGTTTGCCTTTCATTGCTTTGACCAAGGCATTTTTAAGAACGGGACCAGTGAGCCTTGTGTCCTTTTGGAATCTTCTCCTGAGGAATGCAGATTTTGGCTTTTTAGAGTATCTTAATGACATGGCTCCTTTACCTCTTTCCAAACCAAAAATCAAGGTCATGACATTTGTTGTAAAGGTCAGGTTCTTCTTACCAACTGTGAATGCTTTTGTTTTTTCATTGTAACATTAGATTATGGCAACTACATCATCATCGGATTTCCTAGATTTCTTTGGATCCATCCTTCCAGTGGTTAGAGCTTGGATCAAATACCAGAATGGGGTCTTTTGAAGCTCTAGAAGTTGTTTTGAATTGAATTTAAGTGTTTGAAAAAAGGAGACGACGGATGAGAGGTTGGATCGAAATTGAATGCTGTAGTGAGCTCTCTTTCTGTGGAGTTTAACAGGTTTTTTCCTCCTTGAGCTTGAGTCTTTTGAAGTTGGGGTACTCATTTGGATGCTAGTTGCTTCATCAGCTTGGAATTGTGTGTTTTGGTGAGAAGTTTGTGGTGTTTTGCTACTGGTTTTTGTTCTTCGATGATAAGAAGACTGAGAGAGTTGTTCTTTCTTGCTTGGTATTTCTAGTGTTTTGCTGCTGGTTTTTGATCTTAGTCCATAAGAAGACTGAGAGAGTTTTTTCTTTTTTGCTTGGTGATTCAGGTGTTTCGCTACTTTTACGTTTTGCCATTTTTAGACAATGATTAAAACATAAAGATGTCAACATTAAATCCCAGAGAAAATTGGACATGTCGGAGAAAATTACAGATAAGGGAGAAAATTGGAGATGCCAGAGAAAATTATAGATAAGGGAAAATTACAGAAAATTAGACATGCTAGAGAAAATTGGACATTAAAAATTAAATGTCAGAGAAAATCAACACAGCATCATAAACATGGGGAGAAATTTTCAATAATTGTTAAAATTACATATAGAAGTAAGCATACCAGAGAAAATGAATGATAGAAAAAAGTAAACATGGCAAGCGAAAGAAAATTCCCATTCCACAATTAGCAAGATAAAATAAACAAAGTAATGTAAACATGCCACTGGGAATTACACCATATTGAAACCAAGAATTGAACAAAATAAACATACCAGAGAAAATTACACATTCTTGAGGAAATTTCCATTCCATAGAAAATTTCAATTCATAATATTAAAATGCAAGAGAAATTTACATACACAACCAGA